CAGGTGAGTAGTTTCATGCTATATATTTTTATAAATGCACCCCTACCTTGAACTGTTGGAAAATTAAATTGTTGTTTTAAGACTAAACTGTTTTGATAAATTATTATATTATCAATGGAATCAAATTATTTCTGAAACATGTGTGAACTTGGCATACTGTAAACTATTTGTTTTGGTCTTATGTTTATAATGATGAACTACCATGTTTTGCGAAACTGATGTGTATTGATTATTGAGACCATCCGTGTATTTAGTCCAGGAAAATTATTCCACTGTGTGTGGTGACTCTAGCCACTAGGGAACAGATTCGGGTTGGGCCGTGATGACTCTAGTGCTCAACGATTGTAAGGAAAAGACCTAGGTTAAGCTAGGTGATCTTCAATCGGATCGCCTTAGAGAAAAGGCCCAGGTTGCCACCTTGAGGATGACTCTTAGTTTTATATTGGATCCAACGGGGCTTATAGCCTTGAGAACTATGTGGCTTGTTACTTGTTATTTCTTGGTATCCAAAAAATTATTGGTGTTCATGTTGTATTATGTTTTAAGTAGAAAATGTCATTTATCATGTTCTTGAGAGACATGAGTATTTTAATTGTTGACCTATGGAACCTTCTTTTCGAAATAGATTATCTTTATCAAAACTGTATGCTAATCTAGTTTATGTGATATATATATATATATATATATATATATCTTATTTTGGAATTGAACCATGTTTTCAAAACTGTATTTACTATCCATGTTGCTACTCACTGAGTTATCAGTTGACTTAGTTGTTTATCACTTCCAAGTGTTAAAAGGACTTAGAGTGGATTTATAGCGTAGCGGGGACTCAATTGCATGGACCTTTAAGACATTCATTTATTTTGTTTTAGATTGTTATGTCAAGTTGTGCATATTTATTTTTATTTTTTTTTATTGGGGTTCATTTAGGATTATTTTGATATGTGGGCTGTTTATATCCCATAAGTTTGGATGGTATTGTTTATGGTTGGTTTTGTCGTATATAGTTGTGGCATGTCACTGGATTAAGTTTGGTTATTTATTATTAGACTTTTGTTTAGTTGTTCAATTTGATTATAGTTTCGTGTTTAGGCTTACGTGTGCCTTGGGCTAAGGCCCTATGGGCACGGCCGGTCATACTTGGGTTTGGGGTATGACAACCCCGACCTGTGATTAGCTGATTAACTATCATTAATTATGCCTAATGACGAATTAAGAGGAAATTTTGAATTAATTGCATGAGTATTGCATAATTTGTGTTTATATCTGTTGGCGGTAGGAATATTTGTTTTTGTTTCTGTTTTGTATTGCGAATTGAAGGCCTTATTGGCATCCGATCACGAAATTCACTTGGTATATGTGTTAGTTGAAATTTTTAAAACATTATGGTAGGTTTAATTAAAATTTAATTCGGAACGAATTAATGCGAATTAATTAATGGTCATTGCTTAGACTAAGTAAAGTCGAATTAGTTCACTCTTAATCAAGAGTATATAGGGCTTATATAACTAGACACTCACACCTACACACTCTCATTTCTTTATCTTAAGACACCAAAACGTGAGAGGGAGAGAGAAGAAGAGTTTGAACTCAAATTAAGAGGATTGCTAGAGAACTTAGAGATTTTGGCTTGGAACTTCAAACAATTGATCATCTAGAGCATCATTGACAAGCCTAGGTAAGGATTCAACCCTTAGATTGTACAATTATGATGTGTAGGACATGAACTCTAAAGAATTAAGTTGGTTACTACAAGAATTGAGTTAGAATTGAAGAGAATTGAACCATATCATGCATGCATACTCAATTCATCACAATTTGAGGTTGTTTTCAAAGAATTTCCCTCTTGCATGGCCTTACTTTGATCTTCTTTTAAGAATTCAACATGTTTTTGAGTTAGACACCTCAATGGATCATGTGTTTGAAAGTTTTGAACTTGCATCTTTACATGCATGATATGTAATGATATGTTTTCACAATTTTAAGGTTGAGTTTTGAACAATTGACAAAGCTTTTGGGCTTAATTTTGTGACATGAGTTTGAATTCACCATGTTTTATCAGTTTACAAGTGTTTTCTTAAGTTTTGGGGCCAAAAGTTGTATTTTGAGACTTTGAAGTTAAGTTTGGAAGCTTAGAGGTGAATCTAGAAATTCCAGAATTCAACCTCTCCACTCGAGTGGCCACCTTTGTTTTTATTTCCGCTCGAGCGACCAAAAGCTGGCTCGAGTGTAAAATGCAAGCTCCCAGAAGTTCCATGTTTTTGTAGACTGCTCGAGCGACAAAGGTTGCGCTCGAGGGAGGACCTAAGTCTCACACTCGAGCGATCGTCGAGTGTCCGTCGAGCGTGAAAATCACACAATCAGTACTTTTGTAAAGTTTACAGGCCGCTCAAGCGACCGAAGTTGTGCTCGAGTGACTACTTACATTTTTGAACCTCTGCTCAAGGGAAGGAAGTTGCGCTCGAACGGGGACCTTATTTTTAGCAAATTTGCCTAAGTGTTGAACAACATAATTTGGCATCCTCATTGCACGTTAAGCATTCCTAAGCCATGATTAAAACATAATAATGAGGATAAAACGTAGAAACACACTAAGGATAAAACGTAGAAACATAATGAGTTAAGTACATTCCGAGTATGTGTTTCAAATGTGTATTTGTTATGTGTTGATGTAGGTTACGCACCGTAAACCGTCTAATTAGTCTGCTCTGTTTGTCTGTAGTCGGAGCCATCTATGAGTAATAACTTAGTAAAACTATGTTCAACTTTATTTAATTTATGTGTGATAAAATAAGATCTGTTTTTTGAAATATTATGTTTTGTACAATGAATGGTTGTCCAATTTCTGACAATGTATTCGTGGCATCCTTGGCATCATGTGATATTTGTTAGCTGTTACCCAGTATCGGAGGTTCCATTATGGAACTTATTATATCTGCACTCTGTTACCCATATCGGAGGCTCTATTATGGAGCTCAGCATATGTGTTATCTGTTACCCGGATCCGGAGGTTCCTTTATAGAACTGGTTATTCATAACCACATATGTTCTGCATCTGTTCTATTACCGCTAATTGATGTACCACGTATGATTAAGCATGAACTCTGGTTTCTGTATATGATTTGCAAGAATATGAATATGAATATGTATACGAATCTGTTTATGAATCTGAATTTTGATTTTTGAATCTGGTATGAACATTATTCATTAAAACCCTTTACTCTGTTATTATTCATTGGGCTCTCGCTCACTATTTATATCATATATGTAGGTGAGCAAGCGCGTGACCAGACCTAAGCTGCTGCCTGTAAAGTTTTGGGGTAATTCAATCACCATACCTCTTAGGGAGGTTCCCGTGTCTAAAAGTCGAATTTTGTCGACCATGTCAAGAGTTATTTTGTGTATCATGTTACGAACGTTTATGTTTTGTCTTGTTTTGTTTATCTGTGTACTAGGCTAAATCCCTTTTGATGATGCTTGCATGGTGTTGCAAGACTTATATGGACATGACATCTTATGTGTATATTTTGTAAGGTTTCAAATTTCTGTCTCATGTACATCTACACAGCTTTATGGACAACGTATATTTTGTATATTTGCTTCTGCAGCCCCTAATTATATGTTATTCTGTTAAGAGACCTTCGGTAATCCAAGAATTACTAGTCAGTTACGACACTAAACCTATAATGGCGGATTTGGGTCGTGACACCAAACCCTTGGGATAGCCGGCAACAAATCTCTTATTCGAACATCTCTCTCTCTCTGTGATAGTGGCTTCGGTGATAGTGGCTTCGGTAAAGGTGCTGGAGTGGATGTAGAGCTAGTTCAGCTGAGTTAGCGATGGCACGGAGGCGATAGAGAGAGACAGAGAGACGAAGTTTGATAGTATAATGAACAGACATGGTTTTAAATGCATGGGGGTAGTTTAGTCATTGTACAAAAGTATATCTTTATGAACATAATAATTTCGCCAGGACTGCTATTTACACATACTTTATTTCTTTAGGCCCTCGCTATTTTTTTTAATTACAATTTTGCCCTAACATCAATTTTCATTTTTGACCCATCTCTATCCTTCCAACCCTAACCCTAACCCTAACCCTAACCCCACTTCCATCTCTACCTCTACTTCACTCCACTTCGGCCGACAGCCTCCTTTAGCAGCCATCCTAGTGCCTCCCCACCATTTTCTTTTTTCTTCTTCTTCTTCTTCTGCAATCGCGATCTCCACCCTCGCCGATCGTGAACCCACTACCACTACAATCTCTCTCTCTCTCTCTCTCTCTCTCTCTCTCTCTACACATGGTTAGGTCACTAGGGTTTGGAGGTGCGATGGAGATGAAGATCTAGATGGGGAAGGAGAAGGCGACGGTGGAGCGAAAGGGTTATGACTATGGAACCCAAACCCACCTCACAACCGTCGCGAACCTAGATCTTCTTTGCCCTTGTCGTCGACGGCTATGGAACCGACGATGTCAGACAAGATCAAGATCGAGGTATGGGGTGGCAAAAGAGAAGAATAAGCTGGAAATGACAGTGAGTATGGTGGCGATGTACCGTGGCAGAGGGTGTAACCAGACCTAGCTGTCGTCTTCAATGACCACCGAAGATAGCAACAGTCGTTCCCGGAATTGGTGTGGATAGGGATGGGGTTAGGGTTTGGTTTTGGATTTGAGATTAAGAATATAATTGATGTTAAAGTAGGGGTTTAAAGAGAAAATTAAGGGGTTTCATTTTGCAAAGTGAGGGTTCGAAGAAGTGCGGATTCAAGGCGAAAAGAGGTGGGGGCAAATAGCAACCCTCTCATTTCGTCCCTGAACCATTAGGTAAAAAAAATTCAAATTTGGACTGTTGGATTGAATGAACTAATTTGTATACCATATTATGATATTACTTAAATGAATTAATTGGGACTTTTCAGGAGAGAGAGAGCAAGCAAAGAACTGTGAACATATTCATTGACAAGCTGGTTTTGGATAATGAAAAGAAAACATAGATGGTTTAAAAGGCACTAAACGATATATACAACCATGACAAGAAGCAATCTCTCAATCACAAGAGAATGCTCCTCTCCCCTCCGGCTCTACAACCATAGCAAATCTGCAACCAACAAATCTTCCCTGACATTAAAAAGCAAACTTTGTTACACGCGCATAAGATGAGAAAGATGAGTCAAAATACATAATCAAAGAGCACGAAAATAAAAGGATTGTCACTGGCACATAAAAACCTTTTGTCCACTACTTGTTGCTACTCATTATTTGGTACAAAGGTCCTAAATGGTTTGCAACTGGGAAAAGGAGATCCGGATCACTGAACCCCCAAGGGTGCTGGCATGTTTGCACACAATGGCCTCAGTGGCCTGCTCTTCATTTTCAAAGAGTACAAGTGCCTGCTTCTTACCGTTCATCTCAAAGAGCTTGGTATTGACAATGGGGCCATGTTCCTCCAGGTGGGCCACAATCTCCTCCTCGGTCACATCCTGGGGAAGGCTGGACAGGTGGACCATTTTGGTTGGTGAGCAGCAGTAACGATAATTCTTTGCAGCATTGCGGTTAAAGCGATTGAGATTTGAGTTCAAGTACTCGTGTGTATCAGCACCAGTTGTGATGTTTGGATGTTTCGAAAAGTTTACTTCCAATTGTTTCCCAAACAGCATGGCTCCCTATAATTCAAGAATTTAGATTAATTTTGGTAACAAGTGTTCAATAAAAAGGAAAGTTTTATAACAACAGAAATCTAATAACGAAGTCTAAATCACTAAAATAAAGCTTATCACAGCTATTTACACCTGCAACATGGACTTTGTAATTTATAGCATCTACTCGACTCTCGTACCATAAAATGACTCCAGCCTTTCAGCTGCTCAGCAATATACTCAGCGGTGCATGTGCATATTTTTTTGACTAAAATTTTTCACCAGTTGCCAACGAAATCAGCTCACTTTATAAGATGATAATATTTATAAACTTCCGTTCAACGGTTTCAAGAGTAAGGTTCAACTAACAACCACCTAAATGACCATGATATTCAACAGGGGCCAAAAGAGATTTCAAAAATTAAGGCCTAACAGGATAAAACTTGGCATAGTTTAACAGGCAAGTTCATTGATGTAGTTCAATTCCCAATTCCAGAGAATGGAAGGAACAGTGCAGAATTTTTCCCTTTGGAAATTATTTCTACAGAAAAAAAAACAGCCATTGCCAAAATTTGGAAGTTAAAAAATTAACTTCCGGAGAAATAACTCCATTCCAAAGAGTGGATCTCTTCCAATCAATTCTTGTTTTATTATTTTTTTTATAGACACTTCGTTATTCTATTGTAATTTTACATACTAGTTTCTCAGGCCACTAAATATAAGTACCTTTATTCTTTCCTTTCTCTTATCTCTTTTTGTGCTACTGCAGCCACTCGTTGGAGTTAGTAAAACTCAAAAAGGGTAAATTACACCATTGATCCCTATAATTTTAACAAGATTTCACTTTGGGTCTCGTAATTTCAATTTCTTCAATTTAAACCCCCCACTTTCAATTTCATTTCAATGCAGTCACCTCTGTCAATTGCCGCTAGCATTTTGGACAGAAAAATGGTTACATGCAAAAACTAGATGGATCAAAGTTGAATTCGGAAGAAACTATAGGAACTACATGTGTAATTTATTCATTTTTCTTTCTTGTGCGGGAACCACTGAAATTCCCACGTGAATCGCATGTGGCATTTTTCGTCCACAATGCTAACAGCAATTGATGAAGGGACCACACTGAAAAGCAATTGGAAGTGTAGGGTTTAAAAGTTGATGAAATTGAAACTACAATGACCAAAGTGAAACTTTGCTCAAACTAGAGGGATCAACAATGTAATTTACCCCAATCAAAAGTATTGGCTTTCTTTCTCAAATTTCCTAATATAGTTCTCAATTTTTTGTATTGTGTGGTTTGTATTGAATCAGCTATTATACGAGGTCGGTCCAAATAGCCCCTCAAATGTTTCTACCATTTCACTATATTTACTTGAGAAAATAAAAACTGACATTCCTTCTATGATTACGTTTTTCATAATTTTTTTTTATAATATAACTCGATGCCTTAAAACTAAAACACCCGAAAATGGGTGAAACACTTCATTCCTGGTGCTCTCTAAAATTTTGATAAAGATCACAATAGCGTTTCATTGAGTAAAACTAAACTACGAAATAAGCATTGCACTAGATCTTAAAGAATATTGGTTGGTCAAGAAATAACATATCCAACCAAAATTCGTCAAGATCTAAGTGTGCTCAACCAGAGACCACCACAACAAAACAGGACTCTGCCAGTCAATGGCACCATAACACAAATTATCGCATCCCAAGAAACTCACTTATCTATGCTTCCTTTCCATCAGTCCAGTGACAAATTGAATTAGACCAGACAAAATCAAGCATCATGATTGCATCAAACTAAGAGGGAAAGGAAAATAAATGAACGTTAGTTGTCAAACCTTCAAGAAGTGCACAGCTAATTCAGCCTGGAAGCCATCACCCATCTGAACCAGTGCATGATCCGGTTTATTACGAAGAAGTTTGATCCTCACAATGTTTCCATAGATGGAAAACAGGTTGAAAAGTTTATCCTCATCTATTCTCTGAGATGGAAATTAAAAAAGACAGCATAATAAATAACATATTACCCAAATTGAAGGGTGGGACAAAACCAACCAATTGAGATCAGAGAATAGGTTTTGTCCCTCGTCAAATGCAAAAAGATATAAAAAAGAGGCAAGTATTTGGAGAAAGAGAAGGGGTGACTCACATCAGGATTTAGATTTGATACAATCACAGTGCACCTGTCATTTGTTCCACTAATTCCAGGAGGCAAACCTCCTCCAAAAGCAGCGGCAATGGCAGCAGCATTGCCTATCTAGAAGTGGAACCAAATAAAATCAAGTTACACAAATGTCTTGCAGACTCTCAACACACAACATACATCCACGGAACTACAAGATAAAAACTAACATTTAACCCATATCAGTGCCAACTATCCAACCAATCGTAAATCCCAGTCCCCCATGTTTTTCATCAAACTCATTGACTATAATTTGAAATTGAATACTATCCAACAGAGCTAAATGCAGGCATGGGGCAGAATCAAAATGGTTGTCCAAATTAAGCCTATTTTAGATGCAGAGTTCATAACGAAGAAGAGAAGTCAGGCTGTAGATGTCCAAATAATCATTCCAAGACGCCCCCCAAAAAAGGGATAAATTACTCCCCTCTGGAAAAGAAAAATCACAGGAGGGACTAATAACATGAAAGCAATACCCACCTGTGGAAATCCAACTGCAACACAGGAAAAAAAAAAGAAAAAAGATGTAAGAACATGGTTGAGCATCACAAAAAATTATTCAAACAAAGCCAGCACAAGATTGTCAATTAAGTACCTGTCCTACCTCCAGAAGCTTGGAGGGCATACACACTTCCTGCATCTCCATAGCCAGGCTGATCCACCATGCAACAAATATAAGTTTAATACAAGAAAAAAAAAATTGGATGACAAGACATTCTATTATCATTTATGATTTAGATAAAAATAACAGAAACACTGGATCATACTTGTGAGGATCTTCCCTTCTGTTCTGAAGGCAAAGATGGGTTTGTAAAATCCCTAAACAAAGAGAATAAAATCAGCAGCATTATTAAAATTATGCAATGAGAACTGATTTTACAAGCAAAATATAAAGTTAAAGAAAACAAACACTATAAAAATTAAATAAAATTTTAAACAACAAAAAAACAGCTAATTAACCCACCTTGAGCGCTCATTATTGTAGTTCACTTGCAACTCATCGAGGCTGGATCATAAAAGTGAACAACAAATGAAATGTCGAACATAACATCAAAAAGATGAGAAAATTAACAAGTACACATGCACACAGACATGCCAGCACAAACACACAAAAGAACATAAAAATAGCTAGAAGTTTTTGTCCATTTGCAGCCTACTTCGAAAACTGAATGTCCAGCTGACAGCAACCATCATAAATATTACGCCCCTACAAAGAAATTTGGAGTGTTAAAACTTTCACCAAGTAGACAAACCAGCAAACAATCTAATGTCCGCTTCTAAAAAAAACATGCTGAATATGACCAACAGACCTGAAGAGAGTTTCTTGCTAAGATAGCACTTTCACGTAATTGATACTGTAAAAGGGCTTGAAAACCTACAGAAATTGCAGATACAAGATAAAAAATAGAAGACTTCAAAATTTCATTAACTTTTTGGAAGGTGAATAGCATCTTTTCATTATTTTAAGGTAGAAATTATTTTCAAACTTCAAAAAAACACTGGCAGCATAATTTTATGAGAATATGGACACTAAACATCCAAAAGTTAGTAAACCGTAACTATTGCATACAGACACTACAACATGATGCAAATTTTAATGAACCTTCCTGACAGACCAGGGGTTAAGCAAGATGAGTGTTGAAATTAAGAAAAAGATAGACGAGAGAGAGAGAGAGAGAGAGAAAGAGAAACAAAACTTGAAGAAGCTGACCAGCTGACTTCTGAAATGTGACAATCTTCTCCACAAATCCATGAGGAGAAAACACTTGATGCAGCACTTCCACGGTTATAGGATATAGCATGTGATGAATGGTAACTAAGAGAATTCGATTAGGCTGTGTACCCGGAGTGTGCGCCACAGACCAGCATAGAGACAGAAGAGAGAGAGAGAGAAGAGAATGAATAGAGAAGAATAGATGGAGAAAGAAGAAAGAACTACTGATATAATAAAATAGTAATTTCCCACAAGCATACAGAAACCATTTAAACAAAATATAGATACAAGGAGAAAGAAAAGAAACCATTATAAAGTTATTGGAGAAAACAAAAAAGAAATTTACTAGTAGCCCATTTATAATGTGATTTAAAGTTAGTCATGTGCGACACTACTAAATTATTATCATCCAATTATGCATAACTAACATCTAATCAGCGTTTTAAAAAGCTCTAGGCGCATTGAGGCGCTAAGGTCTCCCGGAGGTTAAGCGTGAGGCGCAAGTTGTTGAAGATAACCAAAGTATTAATATAGGCAAAGTTTTTAACATAAAACAAATATTCTTAGAATTTCAAAAAATAAAAATAAATAAATAGAACGACATTCACTATTCCAATAATTATGAAAATAACATTCAACGTTTTAAAAATTTCTCAAAAATAACATTCAATCTTACTTTGCCCTATACTATTTATCTTTCTTTATCAATTTATTAACATGATTTATTTCTTTTTTTAGATAAGAAACTCACACCATATAATACCTTAGTGGTTTTAATTTTAAATTGGGACCAAATTGCCTGATAGCTTCAATTATTGGCCGAAACTGTTGTAATTTACTACATTGAAAGGAATCCCAAACCATATATCCATCTTGCAATCCCAAAGCTTTTGCTTAATGCCTAGAGCTTTTTTTTTATATGAAAATTGGAGCTCAAAGCAAGTATTTACATTTTATATTAATGGGGTTGTAATTCCATATGGTTACACACACAAAGAATAACGATGGAGCAAAACTTTAAATGAAGCGTATGAGGTGTGCGCCACGCACCTAAGCCTAAGGCGCGGGCCTCAAATGTGCCTTTCCTACTGCACCTCTCACCTCCAGCTGTCTGAGGCGCCTCAATGTGCCTCACACCTAAGTGTGCACCTTTTAAAACACTGCATCTAATGATTCAGCCCATATCCAAATCTGTCCATTCTTCCCAAACCCCACATCTTAAAATTTTGTATAACTATAATAACCACCATTTTTTTGTGATGGGATAGTGGTTCTGGCAACTGTCTCAGAGTTGATTATTCATATGCACCAATTTGTAGCAGGAAATATGATAAGATGATGACTATCCAGATATTTTGGTGGCACGGTGACACTAAGAGATTACATATGATCCTGCTGTGATATTTTCACTTGGATACTATTTGTCTCTCGAAAAAAAATCATTTGAATAGTATGTATAGTCATGATAATCAAATTTGATCCGCACTTAGTTCACCACATCAGGTAGGATAGGCTTTAAAAGGTGTATCAATAAATTTTTTGGCGTTTCTGATCAAGCAAGGCATCATGGATGTAAAATGAGATTAGCATCAAAGATGAATAAAAATTCAAAAGGCAAGAAATAATCTTCAGTTTCAACTAACTCTAGCCCTTGCATGAAATTCACATTAATAGGACTATATAAACATAACCGGCAACACAAGTGATGTATAAAGTTGATTGTTGAATGATATGAGACAATCTGTATTGTATTTTGAGAAAAGATCTAGAAGAGTCATGACTGCCTTGGAATTAAATTCTTCAATAAACATTGCTTCCTCCACAGATAGATCAATAAACATAATCTCAATATATGCAACCATACCCCTCCGTCAAAATTAAATCCTCAGCTTAAAAGCAATTATTAACAGATAAAAGGCCATTGTTTATGTAAAAAATCTGCTATGCTAGCTAGAAAAAATCCACAAATGTTGCCATAAAAGGATGACTCCTTTTCAAACCATCCCTCTCACAGATACCAATAACTGCCAATACCACAATACTAAGTACAAAGTACTAACCTCCTCATCCCCCCGGCCTTGAGAATTCTGATCCATAGTTGTTAGTTCTTGATAGGATGAGAATTGAACATAAACATTCCTTCCCCTAAATTCACAACAAAAAAATTGAACCATATCAAAACCTTCGGATTGAATCAAGAAAAAAGGATTGCTACCTTGAAACCATTCGGAAGCAAAGGAAATTTACAAGAAATGTGGAATCCACTTATTCCCGAAACAGAAACAAATGTTTCTTATATCTTGATACCTTATGCTTGGCTGAACATTTGTGTAGAACTGCAGTGCATTAACAGCTGAAGGAATATCTTGCATTTGGAGGAGTGCCTGCAGCCATGGCATGCATGTACACAAACTTTTTAGTTCTTGAGTTTCGGATCAATTTCAAACATAATAAATCTAGCCTCTCTCTACCATATAGCAAGCAAACATACCTGATTCTTGGCGCGAAGCATCACAACCTTGGTTACGACCCCAAATTGCTGGAATAGCTGATGTAAGTCATTCTAGCGTAAAATCGCAACCTGTGTTAGAATATTTATACATGGATAACATGAAGGGGAAAAAAATCTACAACTAAAAATTCACACTCACACTTGAACAAGTAAAGCTGTGAACCAATTATCCCATTGTCAAATTGTGCAACCAAATGTGGGATAAATGGGTACCATGGATAACTAATCCAATCCCTCTCTTTTAACCAGCAACCAAATGTGCCCAAACGATTATAAAACTTTGATTGCACTTTTTGTAAGTCACCTCCATCTTCTTTGCAGCTTTTTTCAAAGTTAAATTTGATAGGAGGCAAGTTTGCTTCTAAACTTAAATAGTAATGCCACAATCACACCCATTTCCACACTCCAACACACACCCATAGGGAGAGTGAGTGTGTGAGTCCTACATACATGCACGTGTGTCCCACACACTCACTCTCTCTATGCAATGTGTAAATGGATGTGATTGTATTTAAATGCAGATGACAGACATTAGTAAGACCCAAGAGAAAAGCAGGATATAATCATGTTTTTCTCCTCATATTATTAAATTAAATATAAAAAGACAAATAGAAACTTTACATCAAAACTTGCATTAGAATACCAGTTTAGATTCCATGTATATTAATGGAATGGATAAAACAAGTTGGATGAGTCATTTGGGAACCACACACACAATTTGGGAGTACCATGCAGAAGAAGAAACAAAAGTTCTTATTTCCAAAGAGAAAAGCTTAAAACATCATCTACTTTCATATTTACTGGCACAGAGAGAGAGAGAGAGAGAAGGTACCTCAGAAATTTCATGCCCCACATTGCGTACATGAATGACTTTGGAAGGCTCTGTCATTTTAAATGACCCTGAAAATAACCCAAATAGTATGATGATCATACCAGACTGTCCCAAATCTAACAGACTTCGATTTAAACAAAAACAAGTACCAACGTATTGTAATGCACCTAGAAACAAATATATACACTTTGGGCATGTTTGATTGGAAGGATTAAAGTATGGGATTAGGATTATTAATCCGTGGGCCCAACCATCCTATGTTTGTTTTGACATTTGGTTTAGGGCTATTAATCCAATGGATAATTAATCCAACAAATTTGTAGGATAATTAGTAATGGGGTAGGGGTGGGATAGTTAATACCACACTAATTTGATAGGATTATTAATACCTCACTATTAGTATTGTGAATCAAACATGGCCTTTACCCGCTCTCAACTATTGTCTGTAAAGTGACACTTTGAACTAAAAAATCACAACACTTGAGTAATCAAACCACATACAAATGTTTTGTCTTTAATCTTTCCGCAACTGAAATCAAAGCAAGCAATACAGACTAAATTACTCTACCCATTAGCTAAACCAGGAATATTCATACAATTTGTTTGGACCGATATGGCCATGGGATTGGACTAATAATCCAACAAAAAGCATAATCCCATGTTTGGCTAAGAAATTTGTGGTCCAAACTAATAGTTCATCCGGACATAGTATCCCCATATGGAGGACTATTGTGACGTTTGGACTATCAATATCATCCTATAATTCTGAGCGAATTCAAGCATGGAATAGGATACACAATGGGATTGATAATCACACAAATCCAGTCCGTCCAAACTAACATGGCCTAAATCCGTTGTAATTTACCAAACAAATACACAAACGAACTAGAAAAGCTAAAAAGAGAGACAATCACGCGAAGTGAACAGTGAAACAGGAATTAACGAGAGAGAATACCTGAGGTGCAGAAATAGCTTACTTGACGAGAGATAGCGAGGTGAAGTGAGACCTAGATGAGAAAGAGGAACAGGAGGAGGAGAGAGACGCCGGTGATCGCCTGAACTAGACTGCGTGCCCTAGATACATCTGTGTGCGTCTCCCATCCATCAAGCAGACGATATCGAAGCCACGTGTTCGATTTTATTTAATTATTTTTAGAATTTTTTATTAATATTCTATTTTTTAATATTTAAAAATTTATTTTTATAAAAAATTAACTTAAAATAAAAAAGCTTTAAGTATAGAAAAGTATGAAAAACAAAAAATTCAAATCAAAATCAATTCAGAAATTACTTAAAATTTTTATTTTATATATAAACCTCATACCATACAAATTTAATCAGAATCACACAATCCCATTTGAAATAAATTCGGAAAAGTGAAAGGTGGGTGTCTAGTATTATTCTTCTACATACACTTGCATTTACATGTGGAGTGTTGAAGTTCCTTCACAATTAGGCCAAGTTTGGCATGATTGAAAAAAGACAAAAAGTCAAAAAATCACTATCCTATTTAAGTCACATCATCTTATTTAAGTCACATCACCTCTCTAACACATCACTTCAAACCCAACCCAAACCCAACTCATATTTCATAAAAAGTCAAAAAGTGCACTTATTTAGTCTTCCCAAACTAGGCCTATGAATATATCCTCTGCATAGTGTGGGTGATGGATCAATTGTTTTCCTGTGGTTTGATAACTCTATGGTCCCGTTTGGTAGAATTGTGGGAAAGAGATTATAACTTATATCTTAATAGCTTATAGTTTATAACTGTGAACATAAATTGATTTTTAACTTATAAATTAAGTTTCTCCTCCCCCATTCAAAGAATAAGTTGATTTTTGACTTACAAAAAGCTATAAGTTGTATTGTTAAATTGAGCCAAATACATCAAAATAACTTAAATTAAGCTAAAAGCAAAAATAAACTGGAAATAAGTCCTACCAAACAGGGCCTTTGTGTGCTAAGTTTGGGGACAAATTGTTTATGATTCTACCCTTGGTGTAGAGTTTAAGGTCAAAGATATTGTTGAGAATGTGTAGCAATCCGAAAATTTAAGTTGTTCGTTAAATTTTATATTAGTATTATAGTTGTATGTGATAATATATTATTAAATAAATAATAATAAATACAGAATCTAATTTGGTATTGGATTATCAAATATGGAATTAATTAGGGATTATTATTTGGGGTCAAATTAACAGAAATATGGAATTATAATACTAGTTAGGTCAAATTAAAGTTAAAGATAGTAAATAAATAAATATAAAAGTAAGAGTAAATAAATAATAATATTGATAACAATAATAATGATAATAATAATAATGGGTGTGGTAATAAAATAAATAATTAATTTTCTGTTGGTATACGATAGAGTGAATTTAATTAGAGATTGATTTATTTGTATAGTTATATTAAAAAATTGGGTCAAAGTGTAATTATCTTAAATATTTATTAAAGATAAGTATAAATTCATGTAATTTATTATCAAATCTGGAGACAGATTCGACCTGGCCACGTGTTGGCCTGATGATGCCTTTATCTCCCTATAAATAGGGAGGAATAGATCAAAATCTAGGGGAAGGAAAGGAAAGGAAAAAAAGAGAGAGGGAGAGACACGTAAGATACTGGAAGTAGAAATTTATAGTAAAAGATTGTGATAGTGGAAAACAAGGCTAAGGGTCAATATTAAGGTGAGTTATATTGTACCTTATGTCACCATAATATATTTTACGTATGTTTTGACTTACCATAATTTATTTTATATAAGCTATATTTTATTAGTTATATTAATACAAGTTATGTTTTATAACTATTTCAGTTACGTGGATAAATTTTTAAACTCTATTTGTTAAAATGAAACCCATAGATATGTTTGTTTAAATTTTAAAGAATATTTGACTATAACCTTATAAACAATTATGTTTTGTAAGTATCACTACGGGAGTCCCACCCCTTAGGGGATTTAAATAACCATCGGCTTCTGTTTGGTCACTTTGTGACCCTCTATTGTCACGGATCTATTGACCTTTGTTCTGTGCAGAGCAAAGTACTGTGCAAAGATAAGTGCTACACTATTGTGGGAGCCACCTTTATAATTCGTATGAGCCACCTATTGGATCCGTACCTCTGTTCTGACTGTTACTCCTGTGACTTTTGTTTTGTTTTGTTCGATACCGTGATTATGTTTATTTATTTACATAATCTTAATTTTGCTACTTAAATTATTATTTGTTAAAACTAAGTTATATTAAATATTTTAGTTAAATAACTATCCATGGTTATTTTGTGTCCCTTATACTCTTGGTATAATATTTCTCATTCTGCCATGTGCTTATAGCTGTTTACCAATTTTCAGAAAACAATGCAATTCAGAAATAGTTTTTGGAAAGTCCGGTTGTGGAATAAACACACAAAACTTTTATGATATTTTTATATGTAAATATCGACATTTTTGGTCAATAAATTTTGTAATAAAAATAGAAGCTCCGATGATTATTTTGGTAAGCTCACTTAAATATTATTTATGCTCGTGTTTATTAATTTGTTCAAGAATTGGCCGAAGGTAACTTCAATTACTAGCCATCACTAGGAATGGCAACGAGGCGGGGCGGGGCCGGGGATGCCACTCCCCGTTCCCGATCCCCGAAGGTAAAAAAATCCTTGTCCCCAGCCCCGATCCCCGGCGGGGAACCCATCATTTCCCCCACCCCCGTCCCCTAATGGGGATCGGGTTTTCCCGACCCTGAAAATTCCCCGACAGATCTGTTCAACACACAAGAACCCAAAAAAAAAAAAACGAAAAAAAATATGTCTAATGGATGACAGAATAGATCTGTTCAACAAAACCACACAACATCATCAACAACAACAGATATATATATAACAATCATCAAAAAAAATTAATCATAGATATATATATATATATACACAACAATCATCAAAAAAATTTGTTCATTACGGGCGGAGGGAGGGCTTCACTTCTTTAGATCTGTTCAGACGGAGGGCTTCACGATCTGATGGAGGGCTTCACGATTGGACGAAGGGCTTCCTAGACAGAGGGCTTCTTCTTCTTCAGATCTGTTCAGACGGAGGGTTCACGATCTGATGGAGGGCTTCATGATCTGACGGACGGAAGGCTTCACGGACGGAGGGATCTGACGGATGGAGGGAGAGGGAGAGGGAGGTGAAGAGGGAGATGAGAGGGAGGGAGAGAGATGAGACTGGGATTTGAGTCAGTAAGTGAGGAAGAGGGAGATGAGAGCCACGGTGAGAGAGAGAGACACAGAAGAAGTGAAACTGAAAAATAGGTTTGGTTTATATATATATATATATATAGGGGTAAAAGAGTAATTTCACTTCATGGATAAAATGGGGACGGGCCGGGGCTAGGACACTTATCCCCGTCCCCGGCCCGAAATTGATCGGGGATTAATTTTTAAATACCATCCCCTCCCCGTTGGGGATATTTTTCGAGAAAAAACCGCTCAAATCGGGGTCGGGGAGTCAGGTCCCCGTCGGGCCGGGTTTAAATTGCCATTCTAGCCATCACGATGCTTAATCCTTGGGTATGGGAAGCGGGTCGTGACAGAATGCTTCTCGAAAATGGCCTAATGCTTTATCTTGGGAGCTTAAGGAGCTAATTGAGAGTACTCCATCGACTTTCTCTCCTAATTCTGGTACTGATTTTGTTATTTTGTTGCCATCTTCTGTTGGCAAATTTACATTAATTCAACTTGGAATTACTTGAGGAAGTCTTATGATAAAGTGTCTTGGGTTGGTACTCTTTGGGGCCCTCATAATATCCCTAAGGCTAGCTTTGTGACTTGGATGACTATCTTGGGTATTTTGAATATTGGGGATAGATTGAAGTTATTTGGTATTTCTCAATCAGCTAAATGTGTGTTTCGCAAAGACTCTTATGAAGATCATAATCATCTTTTCTTTGATCGTCCTTTCTCTTCTAGAGTTTGGAATTGTATTCAAGCTAAGATTAATGTTTCATGGCCTAACTTGTAGGGGTGAGCAGCGGATATTCCGATTCGTTTAAACTAACCAAACTAAATTGATCCATCGCATTTTGGATGGTTGCGTAATGACGAGCAAACGGTTGCGGAATGATTTTTTCCAATCCGCCTAAATTTGGATGGATGGCAAATTTGAGGTTCTTTTGGCCACAATCGAACCGCCAAACCACGAGCACCCCTAGTAATTTGTAAGATTTTGTGTTTTCAATTTGTTTAGATATTCTGTTTGTGTTTTCAATTAAAAAAGAGTTTAGACATTCTGTTATATTTTTAATTTATTTTCAATTTGGAAATCCTTTTATCAAATGGCAAGTGTTGATATTTGGTATTCTTGTGTAGAAAATATAAGACTTAATTTTGTCATTTTTAAAAAAAAATCAAATTAAATAATTTTTGAATAAAAAAAGTAATGAAATAGTTTTGATAATGCATAATTTTCTTATATGTATTTATTATTGGTATTTGACAATTTAGTTGATAATCTTTTGGTTATGTTGAGTTAGATTGTTA